AAAAATTAAACTGTCTTTGTTCACAGATGGCATAACTGTATGGATAAAATCCAAACGAACTGACAAAAACAAAAATCCCTTCTGGAACTAATAAGTAATTATTGCAAGGATACAAAGTTTATATACAAAGTTCAAATACTTTCCTATACACCAGCAATAAAAAAGTGAAATTTGAATTTAAAAACACAATAGCATTTACGTTAGCACTTAAAAAATACGTATGTATGAATCTAACAATATATATAAGTTCTATATGAAGAAAAATAAAAAACTCTGATGAAAGATATCAAAGAACTTAAAAATGGAGAGATATTCCATGTTCATGGGTAGAAAGACTCAGTATTGTCAAGATGTCAAGTTCTCCCCAACTTGGTCTAAGGATTCAACACAATCCTAACAAATATCCCAGCAAATTATTTTGTGGTTTTGTGGCTCTTGACAAACTGATTCTAAATTTTATAAGAAGAAGCAAAAGACCTAGAATAGCCAACCAACTCAATATTGAAGGAGAACAAAGAGGACTGACACTACCTAACTTCAAGACTTACTATAATGTTACAGTAATCAATACAGGATGGTATTGGTGAAAGAATAAAGAGATCAATGGAACAGAATAAAGAGCCCAGAAAAGATCCATATAAATATACTAAATTGATCTTTGACATAGGATAAAAAAATAAAATGGAGCAAAGATAATTTTTTCAACTAATAGTGCTGGAACAACTAGACACTGAGATGCAAAAAAAAAAAAAAGGAATCTAGAAACAAACCTTACACCCTTCACAAAAATTAACTCAAAATGTGTCATAGACGTAAATATTAAACACAAAACTATAAAACTCCTAAAAGACAGCATAGGAAAAAACCTAGATGGTTTTCACAGCAATATGTACTAGTAAGTATAGAGAGTTCTCAGTACTCTCTGCACCCTACCCCCAACCACACAACCCTCCCCACTATAACATCCCATACCAGAGGAGGACAACAGTTTATCAAACACTAAAATAATATGTATAAGGTACCATTTCTATCTCCTGTCATTTTAGTCTAATTTCTACCTACATGTTCACTTGCAAAGATTCCAAAGTCATATAGGCACCATAATAGAAACCAAAATGAACAGAAAAAATGTTAGAGAAAATTTTAAGAAAAAGATATATTAACATCAGGTATTCAATAGAATGAACTAATTTCATAAAAGAAATGAGAAATTTTTATTCTGATTTAAAAGTGTGTTTGAATCATTTATTTTCTTCCAGTTCTATTTTTAAGTGGAAAGAGACCAAATTGTTCTTTGAATTTTATATATCCATACGATAATACAATTTAGGAAAAGAGATCTTAATTTTATGTGTGATGACTGATGTGTGAACTAGATAAATATAAAATTTCATCCATTTCAAAGAATCTTGCTCTAAAGTCTTCTCAATATTTTATTAAATAAAAATAGTTTCTCTATTTAGCTGGTCGAAGATAGTAAAAGATAAACCTGATAGTGAAAATTTCTGCCTTCCTTTACATTTGAAAAACAAATTGCACTTCACAGTACATAAATGTTTTATATAAAACTTCATAAGGTTTCATAAATTCCAAGATGCAAAGTAGCTTAATAAACTTATTTTCCACTATTTACTGTCATATTCACTACAGGTTTCATTAAAGAATCTTTTCAAAATTATTTTTCTTAATATTTTAATAGCTTTTCCAAATAGACAACTGAAATTTCTCCAGGATTTAGAATGTGGAATATGGTTTTATAAAGTTAAGAATTTTTTAAAAAAAGAATAATTGCACTAATATTGTTCTTCCATATTACTCATTTATGTTCCTGGAAAATAAGGTTGTATGGGTTACAAAGATAAATTTGTCTGTGAAACTGATATTTATGAATAGTTTTATTTTAAAGTAAGACTCTGCAAGACTAGAAATTGTATTAATTGTTTATAATATTCATTCACCTAATAAATAGTGGTTTGTTGTCATGCATGTATAATAATGCATGACACTACTAGATTTGAGAGTATATTATCATTATATATTACCAGAATCAGTTTATCATTTACATAATTCAGTACGATATAATGAATTAAAATATTTTATGTAGACATAAAGGCTTAGGTACACACTAGGGGAAAAAATTAGAAACAAATAGCCTCCCAAATAAATAACCTGTAAATGGGACAAATGTTAATTATATTTAAAATTATGCTTTAAGTTATGTATATAAAAACAGGAATGTAATAGTCTAGCTTATACTCTGAATTTACATTGTTCTTTTTATGAAAATACATATTGTCTCTGCATATATGTGCATATATTTGTGTACATGACACGTGACTGTATGTTCACACATCAACAACATATGGCAAATCTCCCATGTGAAACATATGTATTAATCTGTACTATATTACACAGCTTTATTTTGTTGTACCTTGAAAAATAAATGACTCAGGAATTGTTTGAAAACAACCACCAAAATAATAAATAATATCTCAGGAGTGTATACTTTAATGGAGTCAGGACTAAGTTCTGTTTGTTTTGTTAAAAATTGACTAAAATTAAAGCATAAATTACTAGATCTGATGATTGAAGAATTATAAGAATGTGATTATCATAATTAGTGAAATGTATTTGGAAGGAAGCTTCTTACCATGACCTTCGTATTATTTTTTTAAAGTGATTTAAAAACTTAAAAGTTCATCTTTTGCAATATGATCTCTGTTTTACCTTGGAAATATTCATGAAGAACAGAGAAAGGCAAATGCATGACTTGTACATCTTTTTAAATTAATCTCCCAGAGAAGGAAGTGAAGAAAATGTTCTTTTCTCCAAAGAAAATAATACAAAGTACTGAGAGTAAAGCCGTTTGTCCTTTCCAGGAGAACAGCATGCCTGTGTTCAAATCAACCAATCCCTGTAAAGGTTTCCCAGGAGTTACAGTCACCATTGTCTAGTCATTCTCTTACTGAACAATAGAAAACATCACCCCTACGCCCGCAGAAGAAGAAAGTAGGTCACCCTTTAGAGTTTCCGACGTTGCTTTATAACATATTGAGTGTTACTGTTATTAACCCAGTTCATCTGATTGAACATATTCAGCTTAAATTAAAGTTTGATTTGTTTTTACCTCAAAAACTTCTTCATCCAAAATCCTTGTTCCAAAAACCGTGATTCCATTGGTATCAACAATTGCTCTCTCACTTCTATCAAGTGGTTTTGTGGTTTTCTTCTTACAGTCAACAATCATTGTCACAGTTTTCTTCTCCACGCTGATTGCTACCCGATGCCACCTACAAAAGCCGAGTAATTCTTTTGTAAGCTTCAAAGACATTGGCTGCCAAACCATTATCCACGTTAAAACGCTGTGATTTTTAAATTGTAAAAGTGAGCTGAAATCATACAAAAATGTAAGCTCATTTATTAATCAATGGGTTAATAGGTGACTGCTTACTGTTTACCCAGCACAGTGCTAGATACTCAAAGGACACGATCAGCATAAGATGCACAGCAGGATTAGTTGTCCATGCTGATAAGGATGTGCCCATCCTTGGCTTCGCTTTGTGTTGTAGCAACAAAAGCTTAACCTCACTGTGTCCTGATGAAGGTATTTGATAGAGATTAGGGTGGGATATGGAGTAAGTAATAGTTTCCACATACGTAAATGCTTTCTTCCAAAGTGGAATTCCACTTAAAAAAAATTCTGCTTTAGTAATCCCCTGCGATTGACTGTAAAAGGGTATGTCTACTAATCGAATGACTGCTCCATCTGGAGCAAATGAACATTCTAATTGTAAAACACAATGTGGTGCTCTGTCTTTATTCACATTTATTTCAAGTGCTTTCATTTTCTTTTTCCATTTTAATTTCAAGACAGTTATAGATCACTGCTGTGGGCAGCATCCAAGACGGAGACACAATATCTCTCCTTCGTTCTGGAGTTGGCAGTAAGTGGGAAAACAGAAAGAAAGCATAGTCAACGCATGTGTGGAATTAGAGTCTCAACTCACTCTGCAGCTACTGCTCCAGCTAATTCAGGGCAGCGATTACAGGGTTGGCAGAGCAGACATGGCCAACACTTTGGAAACCTACATTCCCTAACCATACTGTAAAATGGTGGGTTTTATTGACAATATACGGTGCTAACATAAACCACTAAATGAAGCTCACTTGGATTCTGCAAGCCAGTCTGGTTTGTATTTTATTTTTCCAAATTAAAACTGCTAGATTAATATTCCAGAAGTGCCTAAGACTAGATCCATAAAATAAAGTACCCAAAAAGTTGCAGAAGCCTCTCTAAAATGTCTGTTTCATGTGACTTGGCATGGCTGCTGATGAGGACCAAATATATTTCCATATACCCTTAATCTTTGCTCTTTCCACTAGCACATTCAACTGGCACAGGTGTCTGCTTGCTTTGAATTCAGCAAAGATTTATATAAGGAGCTACTTAATACAGTGAGAGTAAAATTTACACATACTTCATGCCAAGAAGCCTGTATCTTCACTTAAACCATTCCCAGTATTTGTGGGTATGCGTTTTTCATTAACAGAAAATAAAATTGATTTTAATAGTTAAAAGCTGATTAGAGCTCTAAACTTGATATTTTTGTTGAATTAATTTAAGCTGTGATAATGATATATCATAATCATGGTATCATAATAATATTCAAAATACTAAATTAACACAGTCTTGGAGTCATTCTTAATTATTCTCTTTCTCTCATACTATACATTCATACTATCAGAAAATCCCATCGCTTCATATATTCAAACTATAAACAGAATCAGTGTCCCTCAACTTACTTCAAGCTGCCATCTCTGTCACCTAGACTCCTAACTGGTCTCTGCCTCCCCTCTAATGCAACCAGAGTGACCTTTTTAAAATCTAAGTCACAACAAGTCTTTGCCTTGCTAAAAATCTATTAAATACAGTACAATAAAAGCTAAAGTTTTCATTCTACTTCACGGGGTTTGGGGTCCCCTGGCCCTCTCTGGCCTCACGTCTGACTTTTTGTTTTCTGACTCCCTGCACCTCAGCCACAAGGCTGCACATGTTCTGCAGTCTGCTTGGAACGTTCTTCTTCCATCTACCCACATGGCTATTCCCTCACTTCCTGCGTGACTTTACTCAATGCAATCTCAGCAAAGAGGACTGGCCTATCTAAAATAGTACATCCTACATATCTTGTCTTGATTTATTTCCATTCATATAAGTATTAGTACTTTGCATATTAAGTACTTATGTGTCTATTGTCTGTCTTTTCTAATAAAATTTAAGCTCCAGGAGTGGAAGGATTTCACCTGGGTTGTTCATTGCTACAACTCTTGTGCCCTGAACTGCCAGCCAAGTGATGGCTAGTAGATAAATCCTTATGGAATGAATAGCCATTCATGACGAATGTCATGATCCTTCTTAACAAATGGAAGTATGCTTAAAGACCAATCTTTTTTGCATTTAAATTGTTATATCAGTCGAGCTCAACAAATACGTCACATTTTAACAGTCTCGAGTGAATAGTATAGTGCCTGGCACATGTTAAGCATTTACTAAGTTGTTATTGAAAGAATATATGAGTGAAAAAAGAAACGAATAGTACTATGTATTGATTTTATTCAATATATTGTCAAAGTAATATTTTACTAGTTTGATACATAAATATAACTATTTATTCTATTTGGTAATCAATAAAAAATATTTATTGAGCATTTTCCATGTTTTATTTTAATGATTTGTTCATACTAAACACTGTCTATTATTTTCAAATAAAATATAGGCTGAAATAAATTGATTCTCTTTTTTTTCAGTTACAAAAGCAGTATTAAGGAAAATAAGATTTGGATAATAAGATGAATTCAAAATGTTTTCTACAATTACTAAATATGGACTAAAATTTTACAATGAAGTTTGCTAATGGTCAGAAAAAGAAGCACAATGTGATATTACATTTTATTTGTTTATAAATTACTTGTGAAAGCCTAGTTTTTCCTGGCACTGAAACTTAAAAGTTTCTCTGTGGTCCTGACAAAGATACTACAATGAATACATTTTTTTTCCCCTTCCATCTGCACTACTGTTTCCTTCTTATATTTACACCCAAATGTCCTATTTCTGATAAAGCTATTTTGAGAGGTTTGGATTCAGCAATAAAATATCAAGTAAATTTAATAAACATTTATTTGTATTTAGCTGCTCCATAAGTGAAAGGCAATGATCACAACATAGCATTCAGAATTCAAGATGATTTCAGAAGAGTATAGTGTGAGTCTGACAATCTGAGTTCAAACTCTACTCTCTGCCACTTTCCAACTATGTGACCTTAGACAAGTCACTAAAACTCTGTGTTCCTCAATTCCCTTTTCTGTAAAATGGATTTATTAACATTATTTTCTTAGAAGAATCGTGAAAAATTAAGTGAGTTAATAACACATAAAGTGCTTAGAACAGTACACAGCACACATCAAGTGCTATATACGGCTTCCTGTGATCACCAATATTCTTATTATTTGTAAAAAATAAGTCAAATCAGATCATTCTTCTGCTCAAAATCTTCAGTGACTTCCCATTTCACTGAGTAGAACCCCAAGTTCTCACAACCTCCTACAACACACATATACCTTCTGGACTGCTTCCACCTCTCCACCCTCATCATCCCTCTGCTCCCGCTACGCCGGTGTCCTTGACATTGCTTGGAACAAATCAACCCCACCCTGGAATCAGAGACTTCATATTTGCTTCCCTCACCTACTGGAATAATATCCTTCTAATTATCAGCATGGCATGCACTCCACCTCCTTTATTTTTTTATTTTTTAGAGAGGGAGTCTCGCTTCATGGCCCAGGCTGGCCTCAAACTCTAAGGCTCAAGCAAACTGCCCCCCAACCTCCTGAGTACCTGGGAAGACAGGCACCAGCCACCATGCCTGGCTCCCACCTCCTTTACACATGTTACCTTCTTAGTGGGATTTTCCCTGATCTCACTTCTTAAAATTGCATCCCTCACTGCCATTCTCTATCGTCTTTTCTGCTCTTTTTCTCTCTCATTTATCACCACCTGATATACTATTAATTAGTAATATATTTTTTAAATTTTTTTATTGTTCACCTGCCCAGACTATAAAGTAAACTATGTCAAGTTAGGTATTTTATTATTTTGTAAATATTTTTTATATCCTACCCATAGAAAAACCGTATCACACTTCATAAATATTTGTTGAATGTCTGAATGAAAGAATTGCTTTTAGCATAGCTAAAACATTTAATTATCATGTTACTTACTTCCCATCAGCGATGTTAACAGTTCTGAAGAGGGGATAGTCTTCTGGGGCAGGTTTTCCAGTGTGATCTTCAAACAGAAAAACAGGTGATCTCCCAACCTCAACACCAACTTGCTGAATACCATGTTCATTATATATAGATAAAAGGAAAGACTGAATTCCTTTTTTGGGTTTTACTGTAAATAATATTGAAAAATCTTCTGGAAAAGTTCCACCTGAGAAGAGAAGGCCAAAGAATTAGAAATTCCCAATTTCCAAATTGTTCCTATATCGCTGTATAATTTTTAAACTTTCTATGTGGCCTTAATAAGTCGCTTAAGTTTAAACAGTAAACAGATTAATAAACAAATGGGGAGGAGAACTCTGTTAAGCTTTCCCTGCAATATTGATCTATTAAGCTATATTCAAATTTTAAAGCCACTCATTTAAAGCACAAAGATTACATGAAATTGCATTCAAAGTTAGGAAACAAGATCATGGTGCCAGTACAATAGCAAACACATAGCAAGCACTCTTAAAACAGTTATTTAGGTACACTTCTGGTGTAAGGTTTGTATGTTCTGGCTTTGTCTAGTCTATAGCCTTACATTCTCTTTTGAAAGAGGCACTATAATGACATAATATATATAGGTGTTATTTTTATCACCCCTTCAAAAGCTAAAGAGTTTGTGGTCAGTTATTCTTATCCTATAATGCAGTTTCACTAGTAAAAAACATATGTCATTATAAATCAGAACTATTAAGCACTTGGCTAATATTATTCTAAATTGAAGACGGTAGACTGTCTTTTTTTCTTTTCTCTCTTGCAATCATATCCCAAATATCCAGCATACAAGCTAATCTACGTAGATGCTTACTAAGCATTTTTAAACAAATATATCAGTTAAATGATTACAATAAGTATATTTCAAATAGTTAAGTAATGACTACTTATTATATGATAATATTTTTTGTTAAAACACTGCAGATTAAACTGTGGGTTTTATTTTTCAAAATAGTTTTAAAATATATCTGATTTGATCCCCTTACTACCCTGGCATAAAAGTATTATTTGAGGGATGAGATTACAAAACTGGTGCGCATGTGCATGTGCAATCAACAATACCTAGGCCAACATCACGACCTTCCTTATTCAACCCATTCATTCCAATTTCTATTACAGGGAGCAGTATAAAATGATAAATGCATTATGAATATGACTGTCATGGATTCAAAGTCAAAAGATTACAGTATATTAGCAATCCCACTTCTACGAATTTATGGGGAGAGGATCCTTACATGTAAAGAAACTATGCTGTCAATTCGCCAAAGCACTATTATAAAAGTAAAATGTTAAAATAAGCTGCAGTGGTTGAAGCTGCTGAAATAAAATACAAAATAGCTAAAAAATGGAATCCTATGCAGCCACTTAGAAGAAGAACAAAAATCTTTTATGAAGATTATTAAAATGTATTATAAAAGAAAAAATCAAGAAGTATGGATATACTGTCATGCTGCAAACATATGCATAGAATATTTAACTAGAAGGCAGTACAGTATCTCAGGCAAAAGCTCTGTGTCTTGTCAGATTATTTGGCTCAAATCTCAGCACCATCATATCCAAATGAAATTACATCAAACTAAAAAGTTTTTTGGGCCAGGAGCGGTGGCTCACGCCTGTAATCCTAGCACTCTGGGAGGCCAAGGCGGGCGGATCGTTTGAGCTCAGGAGTTCCAGACCAGCCTGAGCAAGAGTGAGATCACGTCTCTACTAAAAATAAAAGAAATTACTTGGACAACTAAAAATATATACAAAAATGTATCCGGGTATGGTGGCACATGCCTGTAGTCCCAGCTACTCGGGAGGCTGAGCCCAGGAGTTTGAGGTTGCTGTGAGCTAGGCTGACGCCACGGCACTGTAGCCCGGGCAACAAAGCCAGACTCTGTCTCAAAAAAAAAGCTTTTTGCAGAAGCAAAGGAAATAATCAACAGAGTAAAGAGACAACCTACAGAATGGGAGCATATATTTGCAAACTATGCATCTGACAGGGGGTCAATATCCAAAATATATACGGAAATCAAACAAGTCAATAGCAAAAAAACCCAAATAACCCAATTAAAAACTGGGCAAAAGATCTGAATAAACATTTCTCAAAAGAAGACACACAAATGGACAGCAGGTATATGAAAAAATGTTCAATAGCATTAATCATCAGGGAAATAGAAATCAAAACCACAATGAGATATCACCTCACTCCAGTTTGAATGGCCATTGAAAAGTCAAAAGGTAACAAGTGTGGGAGAAAAGGGAATCCTTTCACACTGTTGATAGAAGTTTAATTAGTTCAGCCATTATGTAAAATAGTATGGAGTTTCCTCAAAAAATTAAAAATAGATCTAGCAATCCCACTATTGGGTATGCATTCAAAGGAAATGAAATCAGTATATGGAAGAAAGACCTGCAATCCCATGTTTATTGAAGACTATTCATAATAGCCAAGATATGAAATCAACCCACCACATCCTTGCTATATGCACTTAGCACATTATTTAAAATCTCTTAGCTGGCCTTCCAATCCATTGGCTGGGCTAATAATTTAATCTGTACACAGAGCCCTTGTGAAAATTACATGAGAGTGTGTCACTAAAAAAGCATTCAATTATTGTTGACTATTTGGCTCTTATCCTGAAATATATATATTTAAACAAAAATTAAACTAAATTCCAAATTAAAAAGCATTAATTTTAAAACATTCTCAATACTATCACAGCTATATATATGTGTGTATATATAGTTTTGTTCAATTTTATTTGTATCACAGAGACATTTGATTTTATTTATGAAAATCAGAAGAAAAATTATCAAAGAAATAAAATGGAAAAGTAAAAATGTCAATTAACAAAATGTTTTTTATCTGCTTTTATTATAAATATAAATTCAGCTTACTATTGAAAAAGGTCCACGGCAAATAAACTATTTTTTCAAATGAGTAGCTCAGAATGTCAAGAATCACAGGAATTCATACCTTAAATGTACCTCAATTTTTTAAAGATCTCATACAGTGAAAGAAAACAGTGCTAAAATAGCATGAGCTAGGGAAACACATACCTTTTCCCTTTTGCAAAAACATTATGAAAAAAACATCCACACAGAGACACTTAGGAAATGAGGAATTTCAGAAAATAATATATTCATATGACTAAATGATTTATTAAAAATTTTATCTAATCATCTAATTTATACAGCATAATTTTTGAAAATTTCCAACTTCTAACTACACTAATGACTAAAATCTTTCAATTGTAGAAATTTTTCCCAATTTAAATTAACAATAATATTTTACTTATGATCTTTAAGCTATGACCTTTGAAAAAGAAAATTTAGCTATCTAAAAAATTATAATGACAAAATTTTCAGTCTAACCTAGGCACCCTAGCCTAGTTTCATTCCTGTAAGATGCTAAGCAATGTTGTTCATAACAGAATGAATTTATCAGAAAGAATTCACTACATTAGTTCAATAGAAATGAAGCCTCTTAAAATATAAAATTTTATCTGAAATAGCAGTGATCAGTATATTTGGAATAGATAAAATGTGGAGTTTTTCAACTTAATTCATACTTTGAAATATATAAACAGAAATTAAGAATAAATCATATTAAATGACTGTTTAAAAATGCTATCACTACCTTTGCTATGTGTGTATACATAAAATCACATATATATGTAATAACAGCATAACAGATTCAATAGTGATTCTGAAAATGGACTTTTAAGATCAGTAGTTATTGCATCCATGAACAAATTTGATATGAAAAAGATACAAAAACTTGGCTATTTGATTTTGATTTTTAAAATTCCATCTAATACTTTTCCATGAAGAATATATTTCTAACTGAAATCCCTTTCTGATGTAGCTGGAAATAAATCAAAGCTGTTGATTAGTGTTAGTTGGACATTTTGTGCCTACATGAAAATATTCATCCACTTAGACCATGCTCTACTTATAAAGATCTGTACCCAGATGCTACCTCTGTCTAGAGGCAAATTCATCTAATCTTTCCAAGTTATTTTGTAAATTAGCAGTGGCCCAGGAAAGAAGTACCATTACACAAACCTGCCAGGTCAAGTCTTAGAAAATCTCTAGTCCCTGAACGCCCAATAACTGTGACAGTTGACTTACTGTATTTTAGATAAGAACAGCATGCAAAAATAATGCAAAATTTACACCTACCAAGAAAGTGTTTCCTTCAACAAAAATGTTTACATTAATTTTAGGAAACTATGCACTAAATATGTCTAAATCCACATTCTCATTAAATTAATCTAGGTAGTCATTAAAGGTGAAGTTTCCCTCCTATCTCCATCCACAATCAATATGTTCTACATGATTATATACGAAAACGGGCTACATGTAAAATGTTGTCTTCATATTCTATCACGTTGAAATAAGATAATGAATTATTTAAACATTCAGGTAAGTGTATTTTCTGTGACTGTGCTGAATTAAGATCGGCAATTATCCAATTATTGGTTACTTTCATTATATCACTTCGGTGACCACAATGTATTTTGTGTTTGATATGACAAAGAATTATATTCTTCCTGGGCATTATTTAGCATGATAAAAATAAAAAATAATAATTAGCAGAGGAATAGTGAAATTAGTATTAGTAATAACAACAGTAATAGTAAGAGCAGTAATAATTATAATAAAATGAACATACCTGGAAATAACTGTTTTGTTGGGGCACTGAGTTGTGCTTGCTTTGAAACTCTGTAAGCAGTATCTGAACCTTTAGAATTCTTTCTGTTTGTGCAAAATCCTGTTGTTTTTGATATTCCCTCTGGAGAATTGTGAAAATCTAATGCTTTTAGTACATCAACTGGAGCAGCTGAAGAACAAATAAAAAATAAGAAAAAATATAATTGAACAAGTAATCTAATATAAAAATGAGTATTTTTAACACAGGAAATAGTATGTAATTCTATCCCTCAAGTCTATTTATCACTTGCCATGCTTCTCTAACATTGGGTAGGGGTTTGGGGCAACAGGTAGTAATATAAACCATAACAACATTCCCAAATACAAAATATCTCAAATCTGGAATCAAATTATGGATAAGCAAAACAGAAGGTATATGTGTGTGTATGTGTGTGTGTATGTGTGTGTATATGGGCACGTAGGTGGTGGGTGTATGGGTGCATTTAGAATTTAATATGGCCTATATATGAATTTATAAGCATTCAGATGTATTTCAATTACAATTTATAAATTTTTTAATAATTCCAAGTAATAACACTATTTGGAATTAAAGTGAAAGTCAGCATCTGTAAATAATTCCATTATTTTCTAATAAAATTGCTATTCAATTATTTATAATCTAAACAAAGGTGATTTTGAAGATTCAAATTTACAATTAATATTATATATATTATAAAATGTGCAGTTACCAAGCCATATTTTATACACGAAGGGAAGTTGAAAGAAAGATGTTAAAAAATAACAGGCAGCACAATATAATGTCTTTTTTTGAGTGCTTTCCTATGTTAGTTATGCACAGAATATATAAAAGTATGTATATATGTGTGAAGGTATATGTATACATGTATGTGTCTATATATAATTTGCTGATCTTTACTCTCTAAATTTGCCAGTTACTTCATGGACATTATTCCAATGTTTCGCAATTATATCAAAAGTCCCTAGAGATGAGTAATCAAGTAATTGTGCTCCCCCCACTTGTATGTAGCCTTAATGTATGTAACACAGGCCTATTTTTTTGGTGGAAGCATAAATTTCCCAATCAATTCATTCCAGCTACTTCCAGCTACTGTGAAGTGGTCAATATAAAATAAATTTGAAACCTTAAATTTTTTCTTTTAAATGTGACCAGTTCGTATAAACAGCTTTATTGGGATACAATTCACAGACCATATAAATCACTCATTAAAAGGGTACAGTTCAATGGTTTTGGGCATATTACACTTAATTTTTTTAATTGTGGCAAATATATATAACATAAATTTTTCCACTTTAAGAATTTTTAAGTGGAAATTCAATAGCATTAATTACACTCACAATGTTGTATGATAATTACCACTATTTCTAAAACTTTTTCTTCAGCTCTAACAGAAATATAGTAACCATAATGCAGTAACTACCCATTCCCCCTTCCTCTTAGTCCCTGGTAACCTGCAATCTACTTTCTATCTCTACGAAGTTGCCCACTCTAGAAATTTCATTTAAGTGGAATCATATAGAAGTGCAATATGACCCAGCAATTCTATTCCTATGTACATATTCAGAATAATTGAAAACTGGGAGTTGACCAAATAGTTGCACACCCTTCTTCCCCACAGCAATATTCACAATAGCCAAATGTGGAAACAATCCAGGTTCCCATCAGTTCCCATTAACAGATGAATGGATCAACAAAATGTGGTATATGTGATGTAATTACTCATTCATAAAAGGAAAGAAGTCCTGACATATGTTACAACATAGATGAACCCTGAAAACATTACACTGAAATATGCCAGATAGAAAAGAACAAACTTGATTTTTATAGACCCGCAAATTCCCTGGTCCATAATTACATACCTATTTAATTTACTAAACAAGTCAAGGCATGAACAATGTGGTGCAAGTATTGTTACAAAAACAAACTTTAGAACCCATATTACCCAATAGAGCTTGAAGGCCTCACTTAACATCATGGATAGGTTCTTGGAAACTGTGACGTCAGGTGAAAAGACTTTAATGAAACCAATTTTACGACAGGGTAATAGATATAAACAAGACGTAAGTTCCTATGGCATATTTCTCATCACGAAAACATCACCGAACTTCTAAACAAAGACCCAAGACACTTCTAATTTTAGAAATGAACTAAATGTGAATTACACATACATTTAAGAAAGAGTAATAAGAACAAGTAAGATAATTACTCAATTTCTGGTGAATCAGTGAGTGACGGCAGTCATAGTGGTGGCGGGCTAAATCAAGGAATGAATGTTTGCAAAGTGAAAATTGTGAAGAGCTCCTCCTACCACCACGCAGCTCAGAAACAGTCACAAACGTGGTGGCTCACTGAGTGCTTTTCTCAGACATCCGCTATTGTCGAGCATTTGGATGATTATTGTAGAGTTTATACATTTTTATTTGACAATAATTTTTATTCATTCATTCATTCATTAATTTTCCAATCTGCTTAATCCAGTTCCAGGTCGAAAGTGGCTGGAGCCTGTGCAGGCAGCTCAGAATGCAAGACAGGAACCCCTCCCCTGGACACCACTTCATCACAGGGCACACTCAACACACACACCCCCACACTCGCTCCTTGGGATCATGGAGACAAGCTAATTCACCTAACTTGCACATCTTTGGGGTGTGGAAGGAAACTAGAGTCCCCGGAGAAAACCCACACAGACAAGAGCAAACTTTAAACAGATAGTGGCCCAGGCTGGGAATCAATCTTTTTTTTTAATCAATATTATGAGAAAATGATGTTGAAGAAAGCAATGTTATTCAAGGCCTGCTGTACTTATTCTGTTGGCTGTCTATCTGTATTCAAAAATAAACTAAGCATCCAGAGCAGGCCAATGTATCACGCAGCATGCCTGAGTTATAAAATTATAACGGTATTTGAGAAGATATTTTTCCTGTTTGCAATAAATGGCTGATTTTTTTTTGGCCAATGTGATATTTGACCATTTTCACTGTCTTCTCCTCTCTTATCTTACAACTAAGAAAATAATTATAATAACTGGCATGGCCAGAGAGCCTAATATGTGCCAGTCACTGCCAAGTTCCTTATAGGAATGAACACTCTCAAACCACGTGCTCTTATCCCCACTGTGCAGAGGAGGGAAGTGAGAATCAGACAGCAAAGGAAAATTACTCTTAAGGTTTATGTAAACATCAACTCTACGCTCTTTCCACTTCACCACCCTCACTGCTATACCCTCAAATTAAACCGCTGCAAAAATAGACTCAAAACATTCCTATCATATATTAATATTAAAACTATCTTGAGCTAGTTAATTGATGTCCGATGTTTATATTTATTTTAAATTTAACTCAATTCGTTTTAGGATGTAAATGACTTTGAAGAAGAATATTTCTGAAAGCCACAGCATCTTATCTGCTTATTTTATCTTCTTTTCTTGCTCTGTAGCCATTCTCAAAAGTAAAATTGAATAAAGACTCCAGGACAGACATGACACAGCTATAAAGGCTGTAACTCTTCTGTGAAGAAAAGAATGCAGCCCCGTGGTCATGGTCACGACTGAGCACAGGTCAGTGACACATAAAATGGACCACAACTCTCCTTTTCTCCAAAGTATCTTTCAACACAGTGACCCTTTCCAAGAACATACTCCTCAAAAAAATAGTAAAACAGGGACATAGAATAAAGATTTCAAGTATTTTTTTTTTCTAAAAAGGCATACCAAGTTACAGAAAAGTAAAATTTAGTTAATCAAGTCTTAAATTGTTTTTCTTTCAAGTAAACTAAATAATAAATTAAGCCACTTGGAAATTCTGCTCATTATTTGATCTCATAATCCTCATAGTCATAGCATTTAATAAACTGTCACAATACAGATTCTATTGTTTTGCATACATATACCCACGTATGTAGAAAAACTATTTTTTATATTTTGCTAACTGCAACTGTTTAAAGATTAAAAGCAGTAATTTATTATGGCTGAACATAATATACCAAAAAAAGTAAAATTTCCTTATTCAAAGCAATTCTTAAATTCCCTTAATATTTTAATTGTTTCTATGTTGTCAACTGGTGGCACAGATCATGATTAAGCATTTCAGATGTATCCAGTTCGGCACAATATTTTGTTCAGTAATATTTTCTTGCATTTTATTGCATACTTACAGGTTTATTAAGTGAGACAATAGGATATCAGTGCCCAGCCTGCTCCTCCACAGCCATTTAAGTGGTTTGCATGCTCTTTCCCATCAATCTGCACGCCACGGCTTGACTGAGCTTCCAGAAATCTATATCTCATGTCACTCTGCTGCTTCAATTCCTTCAGAGAACTGGACTGACTTTCACAAGGTATTCACATTCCTCGTATAGACAATCTTGATAATCTGGACACACCCACTCATCCTCCCAGTCTACCCTCACTGCATGTCCATTCTTATCTCTCGGTAACCCTAATTCCGTCCTCACTCAATACTCAATCCAGACTCAACTCAGACTTCCTGGAAACCACCATGTGCTTTCGCCTACCTCTGGGCCTTTGTACTCCCCCCTGTCTGAAACACTTAGCTCTTCCTCACCTGAAAAATGAGTAGAATATAACTGATGTGTTATCTTCTCCAGAAAGCATTCCCTATCTCCCAAAGCTATTCATAGATTAGATGCACTAACCTCTATTATAGCACCTTTCATTCTTGGTTTTAATTATTTGCGTACCCTTGCCTTGTTTCCCCCCAAGCTAGAAGAAAATAGGCATACACACATGTGTACACACACATACACAGAAACAGAGTATGTAGAATGTTGGTTGAATGTAAAACACAATAAGGTGAAAATAGACGAAAGCAACTTCCTCTGAAGTTCATAGGGCTCTCTAATGTTGAAACAAAAATTCGTGAAGTCCTACTGTGTACTTTCTGTTGTATTCTGTCGACCTTTTGAATGCCACCACCCATCCGCTGATCAGTTTGATCCCTGGTCTTTGATCCTTTCTCCTCTGTTGCCTTCATCATCCACATGGATTGCTCATCTAATATCTCACAATGCTTTCACTGTTTCATCTCTAATTCCTCCTCCAAGCGTCTCTGCAAATTCCCATGACCAGTAATGAACAGCAGCATTACATCACAAGCAAGACTGCTTCTGAGTTCCACCTCTCCCACTTAGCA